ACACACGTACACACACACACACACACACACACACACAAGACCACTGTCAAATGTAAAAAACAAAACAAAAAAACAACAACTAGATCTAATAAAAATTGCTAAAACCTTACTAACAAACATTATAAGAAGAGCAGGACACCGGTGCAGTTGGATCTGGGAGACATGCTGGCAGCACTAGAAAAACAACAACAGGCCATGAGAGCACGACAGCTCAACAACACCAAACCACTGTCATACACAGGTACACACACACACACACACACACACACACAAGACCACTGTCAAATGTAAAAAACAAAACTAAAAAACAACAACTAGATCTAATAAAAATTGCTAAAACCTTACTAACAAACATTCAAAGACTAGTTCAGCCAAAAATGAACACTTTCTGAAAATGTGCTCTGATGCAGAAACAAACTCATCCTGATCTCGGAAAGACTGAGGGTGAGGACATTTTCAGCTAATATTCATTTTTGGTGAGCTACTCCTTTAAAATATAAAAATAAAATCTAACACCTGTGTTGTTGTTAGTTGGGACAGTGGGCACGCTGCACAGTAAAGATCGAGTGACGGGACTCAAGGACACATACACCCCCCCTCACAACATCCTGGACTCCAGCGCGCCCCGCGTCAAGAGAGGGAAAGAGAGAGAGATTCCCAAAGTCAAGAAGACCACCGCCATGAAGAAGGTGCTCCAGAAAACACACATATGCAGCACTGAGCATGACAGGATATGACATCACACAGCATTAACCCCCCTCTGTGTGTGTAGATCATTCTGCAGGAGCGTGAGGTGAAGAAGGGCAAGAGTTCTGCTGAGAACAGCGTATCTGGAACCGATGAGCAGAAAGAAGCTCTGAGCTTCACCGACCCGCTCACACAGGAGCAGGATGGTACACACTCTCACACACACACACACACACACACACTCACTCACTCACTCACACACACACACACACACACACACACACACTCTCACACACACACACACACACACACACACACTCTCACAGACTCTCACTCACTCACTCACACACACACATTCTCACAGACTCGCACGCACGCACGCTCACTCACAGACTCTCTCTCACACACACACACACACGCTCGCATTTGCACGCACGCTTACCTACACACACACACACACACACACACATTAATATTTGGATTGCAATTTTACTATTGTTCTGTAAATTGAAATTTAAACTTTATTGTAGAATCATTATTAAATATACATTTTTAATTTTTATGTTATAATATATTATATTATATAGGGATGCTCCGATCAGGATTTTTGCAGCCGATACTGAGTACCGATTTCTTGTCATGGTGATCGGCCGATACCGAAGTTAACTTCCGGTCTGTGTGTGTTTATCAGTCTGGCGCCGGCTACAAACGCAGTTAAAGTTAAGGTGATGAGTAGACTGAAGTTGGGCTCAGGTGGTTGTGCTGTGGGATGTGTTTCCCATACATTTATTTATTTGTGGCGCTCGCCACAATATCAAAACTGACGGATATTCCAAAAGGCTTCGTTGAATAAACATGAGCACATACTGCACGTTTAAAAATCAAAACGCGCAGGTGTTTTTATATCACTGCATCTCTGAAGGAAGACTATTTTTAGAAAATTTTCGATGTCATTTTCATTTCATCTTGCATGTTATATGCCTGATAAAGCAGCGTTTGTGTTATGTTACCGTTACCCCTTACGGCTCCGACAAGGTATTGTTCCGTCCTCCACACTGTGACAACTCACAAAAGTCTATTTTTATCCAAGCAGTGTGGAGAGCCACTTCAGAAACGTGCTGAGGCTGGCTGATAAACACACTGACTAGAGCAGCCGCGATCCGCTCCGGTGGCCGTGGAGCCGTAACGCGCCGCAGTCGTGTGCAGTGAGGCGCAGATCAGCTCTAACGTCACTGAATCTGCTGTTAAAAATTAACCATCCATTCATCATATCATCATACAAAACCTACACGACATATAGCACATTTTTCATTGTTTCTCGAAACGCCATAGCATTTCCACACCGTCCATGACATGACTGCGGCGCCAAATCATTTATGTCCCCACACATCATGTACCTGGTCAGGCGTTGATGCCATCAAATTGCGATCGGTTCGTGAGATCGGCCAAGAGTAGTGAGTACCGATCGAGTCATAAAATGTGATTATCGGCCGATGCCGATCGATCAGAGCATCCCTAATATTATATATTAAATATATACTTAAATATATTAATATTTAAAATATAAAGTATGATTGTGAGATTAAATGTTATATAATATCACCGTTCAAAATTATTTTCTATGTGGGCAGCAGTCCTCATCTGTTTCCTGTGTGTGTGTGTGTGTGTGTGTGTGGTGTGTGTGTTGCAGAGAACGGTCTGAGCATGCCCAGTGATGCGTCTCTGTCTCCAGCCAGTCAGAACTCTCCCTACAGCATCACACCCGTGTCACAGGGCTCGCCCTCCAGCTCCGGCATCGGGAGCCCCATGGCTGCGTCCGCCATCACCAAGATCCACAGCCGCAGGTTCAGAGAGTGAGTACACACACACACAGGGGTCAGAGGTCACTGAGGTCACAGCAGCGCAGATTTGTGCCTGATACGGCGGCCCACAGTAGATCTCAGACGGGCCTTTGTGCTGCTGCTTCTGCAGGCTGTGAGTGGGTTTGGAACAGCAGAGCCGCTGTGCTGCTCAGTACACTGCGTGTGTGTGTGTGTGTGTGTGTGTGTGTGTGTCTGGCATTTATTTAATCAATCTCTTGTATCTTTTCTCTGGGTCGCCTGTCACAGGAAGGAAAGACTAAGAACATCGCATTCAAAATATATATTTTACGAGTATCGGCACAATAATCTATTTATTGCCTTTCTTTAAACACATTATTAAGGTATTACCAATATCCAATATTGACCGACCTCTGATTCAAATGTGCTGGTATATTAATATATTACTTATGGGTTTGTTCTGAATGGACACACACATACAGTATTAATTTTATTTGGGCAGTTCTTGAAGTCTTAAATTAGATTTTTGAAATCTCTTTCACATCATCTTTTGTTTTAATATGCATCAAATACTTATGGAAGATTGTCTCCGCCACTGGATTAAAAAAAAAAAAACTTTGACTGCAGCTGCAGAGACCGGCTCAACTCCTCCATCACCAGCACCACCAGCACACTGGTGCCCGGCATGCTGGAGGAGGAGGAGGAGGAGGAGGAAGAGGAGGAGGACTACACCCCCGAGCCCATCTCTGTGCAGGTGCCGCCACTCAGCTCCAGGATCGAGTCCTGGGTCTCCAAAACCCTGGAGAACCTGCAGCTGCGCAGCCAGAGCAGCACCGAGGACGAAGACGAGGAAGAGGAGGAGCTCGACTCTTCTGACCTCGCTGAACCGGCGGTCGACGACAAAGACGCGGCGGATTCGTCCACAGGATGAAGTCGCAGCACACACGTTCCACGAACACTGACTCAGGGAACTCTAACGGACAGACCAACTGCTCACACGCTCTCTGTGAATAACTCACGCGACTCTACGTCTCCAGATGACGTTCAGGCTGCTCTTCAGCATCACGATGCTCCAGAAATCACACAGAAGCATCATAACAGTCATCATATGCTTCGTTTAGATTTGGGTGAAAACCATATACCTGTACATCTCAAATCAGGCATTCACAAAGTGGTTCTGTCATGCGACCGGACTTGAAGGGATCATCATGTACTCACCCTCGTGTTGTTTCAAACCTTCTATGGAACATAAAGACATTTTGAAGAACATTTGGAAACAACCCACTTTGGACCCCATTGACTTCCATTACATGCTCCTCTAAAGAAAGCCAGTCGTACACGTTTGAGGGAGACTGAACGATGACAGAGTGAACATTTGTGACTGAACTATTCCTTTAAAATATCTGAGAGATCTGAGAGCTGTATGAATCATGATGCTTCACGATGTTTTTGTGCTTCTGCGTGAGAAGCGAGCAGCTTGACCGTTCTGCTGAACATCTCATCCGTGTTCCACTGAAGGAATAAAGTCATGCGTTTTTAAAGCGAGTAAATGATTCACGGTTTGGGTGAATGATCTCGTGAACTCTCATCTGAACGTGCGTTTCGTTTAACCAGGAAGCATTGCCAAACGCTGCAGAAGAGAAACAGCATTAGTTTGTGCATAAAGAACGAATCCTGTGTAAATAACATGTTTAAATGTTTCTAATATTCTCGTCTTCGGTTCTATTTATCGCGCTTGAATTCAGACCGATTCGGAGGGCGTTTAATTTCACGTGCGTCCTCGGATTGAATGGTTTCTCTTGGTACTAATGGGACAGATCCGTCTCTTTCTCTGTGTTTGGAGTGATCTTCATCTGCGTGTCTTTTGCACTATGTACATAAACGTGAACATGCTTTGGTAACTAATGTGAAACTAGCACATGTGTTTTCCAGCAGCTCGGATGCTGAAGTCATGCAGTAACTGTTCTCTGACTGATCGTTAATACAATTAAACTGTTTTCAGTAAACTATCTACTGTGCCGTGTGTTTTACTGGTGTGTCTGTGTGTGTGTGTGTGTGTCTGTGTGTG